GTTTGTTGACTCCTAAATAAATAAAAAACGTTTAAAATCACAGAAAAATTAAAAACTTTAACTTACATTTTGGTTGAGGTTGACAGCTGCGAAAGGCAAAACGAGAGCAAAAGTGGTGTCGAACAGTTTCTATCGAATGGTCGATACAGCACGACGACATTTGTCGTTAGGGAAAGCAAAAACGATACTTCGATACACGTTTTTGCTCGATATCGAATTACAGAAAGCCACCCCTGATATTTCTTCAGTTCATGTATCCCCTTTGGACTGTGGGAAAAGAAACTATACATGTTGCGGCACAGTGTCTCAATGCTTTTCGGCAATTTGCACAAGTCAGTGGCATGTGCACTTTATATAAAATAAATCGGTTTCTGCACTCAATGATGTTTTCAGCCCGCCCAAGTCTCCAGCCATAACATTGGCTCCATTAGTGGCCAAACCAATTAGGCTTCTTATTTTTTAAGGCAGGATTGGAAAATGTTTAAAATGTACAATAAGCAAAATGATGTTTGAAAAATATATTTTTATAATTAAGAATCTAAAAACTTAATTCAACTATCCGACCAAAATCTTACTTTGCCTACCAACCTACCAAATGAAAAAGAAGCGACCAAATTTGGTCGGAAAAGACCAACATTGGCAACACTGTTGGAGAGAACAGGAAGCAGAACATAAGGAAGCATTCAGCAAAAGTGTCAGCAACCGGCTAGCACGTCGAGATAGTTCGCGCATAGTGTTTTTCTTTAATACATAGGCAAATAGCAAATAAATAGTAAGTTAAGTAATTATTCCACCCACAACATCCGTATGACCTAATAATTGTGAAATTATAATTCAATTGAAGAATAATTGTATTTCAATCAAATATTTACACAAATTCATGAAATCAGGAAAACAAATGGCAGCAAAGCAAACTTCGAATAATGAAGCAGCGTTTCAGACTCTGTATTTCGTCAACTTTTTACTACTATTCAACAAAATCCCCCTCAAAATTAGAAAAGAGATCAAACGGGTTTTCTAAGGCAGCCAACATGGCGGAATTAGAGCGAAAAGCTGTCTATGTACATCACCTTCTTTTATTTCATCATGCATTGTGGTGCCCATGTACGCTTAAGAAAAGAACGATGAAAATGTGTACATTAGGGCGGGTCAATTTGTTTGGGGGATTTTTTCAACTAAATATGCGCGTATAGCTCAAATTTCCGAAGAAACCATGGGTCTAAAATCTATTTGAAGTTTGCAAAACTGCGAAAATAGGTTTCTTAACATTTTGCTGTAGAGTCGTGGGGAAGTGTATAAAAACATGCTATAGGTTTTTTTGGTATGAATAATCCACTGCTGCACATACAGAGGGAACAGTGAAAATGTTCCTTTTTTCTTCGCCATTTGCGAAACTCCAAAGTAATTTTAGACCCAGGGTTTCTTCGGCAAATTTGCTTAGGATTACATAAGTACCTGTGAATTACTTACATATGTCAATTTCAATCATAATTGCTTTTCGAGCTAAATGAAATCTTCCTGAAATTGAATTCAACTGCAATATGAAGAAGAAAACTAATACTTTAATTTTACAGTAAAACCCGCTTAAGTATCTTACGAAAAATGTCAGCTTTTTGAGGTACTTAGGCGGGTTGGGTACTTAAAAGAACCCGCTTAAGTACCCCGATGCAGGGAACATAATTACTGACTTGTTAACTTACATAAATACTTGAATAACAACATTTAATGAAGTATACATAGTTTAAAACCAAAATCGTAGCATTATTTAAACACATTAAGAAAAACTTTCTTAAAAAAATATTTAGTGCAATGGTCTGTCATTTTTACAAGAATTAAATTGTTTAAAAAGTCAAGGTTGGACATATCATTTTGTACCAAATTCAAAATGATATTGTTTGCCACTTATGTTTATTTATTAATTTTTAAGGTTTTTCAATCAATTAAAATGCCGTTCATTCCCTAACAAATACCATATAAACCTAAGCTTAAGATTTTTTAGAACACTTAAAAAAAAAAATCATCATAATTTGAAACCTTTTTTTCAGAAGTGTTTTTTTGAGTATACAGTTTTATAGTCCATTCAATTTTAGTGCAAGTTTCAAGTGGCTAAAAGTTACCGTTGATTTTGTAGAATTTTTTTACCGAATTTGAAAATACGTAAATATTTTAAGGAATTTTAAAAGAGCACTTAAAAGGGGAAAATTATAAGTAAATTTGGAAATGGGCACGAAAAATTTAGGTACTGGTTCTTAGGCGGGTTGGGTAAATAAGCGGGGAGGTACTTAAGAGAGGGATTTTCTTCTGGTTATATTAAAAAATTCTCGGTGTCCAAAAAGTTGGTTACTTAAGCGGGTTAGGTACTTAAGCGGGGGGGGGTATACTTAAGCGGGTTTCACTGTATATTTAGCAAGGTGTAATTTTTTTTAGTTTTCTTCAAAGTTTTATACATTCACGACCAGTTTTATTTGAAAGAGCAACAATTTTATAAAAATTCAAACTGCTTGACCCTTACTTCAAGAAACCCCGATAAAAACAATTTTGGGAGTTTGTTAACAGATTGATATATTTTAGAAAATTATTCTTCGAAAAAATTTACTATGGGTCTTCTCAGGCAAAATCTTATTTTCACTATATCAAATTCAATGGCATATGGATAAAGGAGATAAAGTTAAATATGTCGAAAAATTATGGCGTCAAAAAATGACGCAGTGAAAACCAGCCTTAAGTCTCTAAAAAATTAAAATAAAAAATCAGCAAAAAAAGTTGTTTTTTAACAACAAAATTTTTAAAATTGTGTTTGACTGTTATTCCTTCATAGCATACATTTTTGTTTTAATATTATAGACACCTTTAGGTTGGTTTCGGCTGTCGCACAGTGTTACATGGCGCGTCCCCGAGAAAATTTCTCAAATTCAAATATGTATCTTTTCCGGCTCAAAAACCGTAAAAATTTAAAACCCCTGTAATTCTAAACCAATTGTCAACCTCTGAAACACAGCGGATTTTAAATTAAGTGTTCGTCTCAACAGGGAAGCGAGATTGCCGCAATAAGAAGAAAGAGGCCGATATACGTGAGTGCGAAGAGCTGGAAATGATGGCCGACAGGAAGAATTCCCGAAATTTTTACCAGAGAGTTTGGCGATTTACGGAAGGTTTCAAGACCAGGGCATACTCCTTTAAGAACAGCAACGGCGACCTAGTTAACGATGTTCAGAACGTGCTTAATTTATGGAGGGAACACTTTTCCACACTTGAATGGTAGCAGCACGGAAAATTGTGGAGAAGAAGAACCCGAGCCCCCAGTCGATGACCATGATAAGGTACGAATAGCAATAACGCGGCTGAATAACAAAAAAGCTGCTGGATCTGACAGCCTGTCAGCTGGCTATTCAAGTACGGTGGCGAGGAGTTGATAAGGTGCATGCATTAACTTTTATGCAGAATATGGTCAGATGAACGCATGCCCAACGACTGGAATTTAAGTGTGCTCTGCCCAATCCACAAGAAAGGCGACCCCGCCATTCGCGCCAACTACTGCGGGATCAGCCTTCCAAGCATACATAGGTTACACAGTTTTATCGAGAGTATTGTGTGAAAGATTGAAGCCCACCGTCAATGAACTGATTGGGCCTTATCAGTGTGACTTTAGACCTGGCAAATCCACCATAGACCAGATATTCAAAATTCGCCAAATCTTGGAAAATAACCGCGAGAAAAGGATCGACACTCACCACCTATTTGTCAACTTTAAAGCCGCTTTCGACAGCACTAAAAGGAGTTGCCTATACGCCGCTATGTCTGAATTTGGCATTAACACCGATAATAATGTCAGCATGGAAATCCAATGCAGAATCACTCTTGCCAACAAGTGCTGTCATTCGAATGGACACCGACGCTCCAGCTCTGAAAGTATTCAACTCGGAACCCGCTGGTGGTAGCAGAGGAAGAGGGAGGCCCCACTGCGATGAAAAGATCAGGTGAAGGACTTGGCTTCACTTGGCGTTTCCAATTGGCATCAGTTGGCACAGAAGAGAAATGACTGGCGTGCTTTTCTGAACTCGGCCAAAATCGCTTAGGCGGTTACAGCGCCAAATAAGAAGAAGTTCGTTTGAAAACATATTAGAACCAGATTTTAAAAGCTGCATTGTCTAAATAGGACAAACACAATGGGTAATATGGAGCATAGTAAAAAATCTACGTAGAAAAAAATTTCGATTTTTGGCCAGTTCAGAGCACGTTGCCGACCCCTATCATTGGTTTATTTTACAATATTTTGTATATAAAATTAGTCAGGAAACGGACTAAGAAGAGTTTTCAGAACTGCCCAAAAATATATTTAGTCCATGTTCGTAAATAGGGCGTTGTTCGAGTTGCAATCACAACCGCAGTGTTGCGCGCATTATTAAGGTATCACGTTCGGTGTGAAATTCTAACAACTTTTTATCAGTTGGGAAGTTGCAATGCAAACTTTCATCAGTGGTGAAGTATTTCCGCTGTTATTACGTGCCTCGAATATGGCCTAGTATAATGTAGCTTGCCAAAAAGAGTTTGTTGTTAGTGAATAGATATTCTGCCAAAATCTAAATTTTTTAACACTGGTCTTAAAATTTCCAGCCCCATTCCCAGAAGAATCTTCGATTTGCGGCCAAATGTTTTTAACGAAGGGATATACCACCGAAACCCACGATAATATACGCATTTTGTTAACTTTAGTCTTAAATACCCCACGTCCGTTTCAACGGGTTTATCGCCTTAAATCAAAATATTCCGAATACAACTTTTTAGTGGATGAGCTACCGGATTGTGCAAGACAATTAAAGTTTTGCAAAAACACCATTTTTGATAATTTGCTATTTACACTGCTATATTTGTACAAACATATAAGAAACAGGATAAAGTGATTAAAGTATAGTTATAGTTATAATAAAATAGGTACGTTGTGAATTTGCAGTTCGAAGTCAATAACAGTTAATAAAAATTAATAACAATTAATAAAGATTTTAATGGTGACCTCCGTGACCACCGTGTGCGTGTCCACCATGATGGAAAGCCACACCATGTTCCTGTTTGATAGAAAAGCCACTTGAATGGCTGCCGTGTCCATCACCGTGACCGTGACCGTGTCCGTGTCCATGTCCGTCTCCATGACCGTGGCCGCCGTCATGTCCTCCATGCCCGCCTTCGTGTTGTTCAACCTCAGCGTGTCCACCGTGGTAGCTGGTGTGACCGTGGTCGGCTACATGATGGTGTGTGGGTTCGCGGTGCACTTCAGCGTGGAAACCGCTGTGTTTGTCAGCTGTATAGTGGACAGTTCGCTTATGACCATCCGCATCGATCAACTCGTAGTGACCGGATACCTTGTGGCCATCCCGATGTTCGCTGTGCTCCTTGATGTCACCTGTTTTCTTATCCTTGACGCCATAAGAAAAATGATATTCAGCATGTGAATCATGACCATCTCCATGTCCATGTCCATGCCCATGCTCATGATGATCGTCGTGGGAAACTAGGTGAACAGAAGCGTGACTGGAGCCACCACTGTCATGTCCATGACCACCATGTTCGTGGTGACCACCGTGTGACGCAGTGCCAACCACGCACATTGCAAGACAACATGTGAGTGCAGCGAAAACCTTTAAAAAACGAGAAGGAAAATAACATTTTAGAAAATAACAAAGGAAACATGCGGATCAAACTTACCTTAAAGACCATGGTTCCAAGCTAAATTATAAGTAGGGATACTTTGATAGATCTTAGAGAACTGTGGTTACTTCAAAATTGGCCTGTGCTTATATACCTAGTTCTCTTCTCCTTTGAATGCATTTTTTGTGTAGTTACTTTATTTTTAAATATCTTTTGCACTAGTTTGCCTTTCTAATGCAGCTCGGACAGCTGATAGTAAAACTATAAGGCCATTGCAAAGAAGACAACGCCTACCAAATTGCGAACGAATATTGCGATATACATACACATATTTTTTCGATAACACTTACCATTAACGAAAAATATAAAAAAAAACTTGACTGTTGGCCTTTGACCTTGAATACTTTTTTTTGCACACATACCTTTTGACATTTTATAGTATTTACTAGTAATCCCTGGCAGACGTTGACCTGCTACACTCCGATACATAGGCAGGTTACATGCATCGTAGATATTATGGGTCTTCACACCGAAGCTTGGTACTCGGTAGCTCGGTGTTCGGTAATTTTTTTCCCATGTATTTTGTTTGTGTAACACTATTTTACACAAACATTACATTAGAAAAAATTTCCGGAGACTGAGATTGTTATTATTGTTCGCTACGTTTGAAAAAAAAACGATCCCTGGTTACGGTTCAAACATCAGCCAAGGGAATGGATACCATTGGATGGTATCCAAACGACAAATTTGGTTGTTGCTGTTGATGTGGGCATGTTAATGTATATGTATATACCATATGCTGTGGTGTTGATGGATATTCATCATATGAAAGCAAATTTATATGTATGGGTGTAGCTGAGTGCGCAAAGATGCTTGCCACAAGTTGTTGATATCCGGAGATGGCCGGCAACATGCAAATTAAATTTTTTTTTTAGTTTTTGTCTTGATTATACACTGCATGGGTGCTTTTTCAGTACGAACCCGGCCATTTTAATATGCGTGTATTTGAATTGAATATTTACCAATATACAGTACTTTCGTTGACGTTTATAGTAAGATCAATTACGCTTCTATTTGATTTTAATATTTTTTTCCCTCAGTGTACATATGAAGCGTAGCCGCGAATAACATTGGAAAACTCCCGCTTCGGATGTAGGCAGTTTGTAGTTACCGTTAACGAGCATAGCGACACGGGATTTTTAGGAACGTTGGGTGAAGCGTAGAAAAAATTGCTATAAAAAAAATATTTTTTCTCAGGTTCGAAACTATCCTATCTTTTAAGTTGGAAACAACAATACATTCCCACAAAATTTCATTAAAATCGGTTAAGCGGTATCGGAGATTTTAATGCATACCCACAACATTTCATTGAAATCGGTTAAGCGGTTTCGGAGATTAGCGTAAACGAACAGTGACACGGGATTTTTATATAATAAGATAATATACAGTGCCTTACACAAGCGTTCACATAGAGTTGTTCTTTAATATTCCTAATGCTTTTCAAGTAAAATTAATTTGTTATTTTTCTAGCTTTAGCCAAAATCATATAAATCAGAGATCCAAACTTTATATAAAATTTAGGAAAATTCATCAAATTTTCGAGGTTTTTGTTTGAACCTTTACAACATTTCTGTGTATGCAGTTTTATAGCCCATACAATTTTATTCGGATGAAGTGCAAATTTCAACCTGCTAAAAAGTTGGGTTAATATTAATATATTTTTTTTTTTTGGTGACGGATCAATATAGCCAACGGCTTTGAGCAGCTCAGCCAGTGCGCAGACTATATCCCTCTTCTGGTAGATCTACAACTTTTTTTGCTAAAATGTATTTCTACAACATCAACCACAGAAAGCTTGAAATCTACCACACTATAAAATTTTCTCATTTTAAAATGGGAATGATTTTGCCATCCCTAATTTTATGTTAATTTTATGCACTATTGCGAATTAGACAATTGTGAATGCGTCATTCGCTATAATTTTTGCATTTCATTTTTTAATTTATTCGTGCTAGTATATCTGTGACAACTACGTCATTATTGCCTCCTAACGTTTTCATTTTATGTCGAACAGGGGAAATTTTTATTACTATAATATTAAAGATTTTGAGACGAGTAACACGATTCCCTGTTCAAAATTCGAAAAAACCCCTCAATTTAAACAAGGTATTTTTTGAATTTTTTTTTGCATGCAGCTCTGCATCCTTCACACATTTTCATATCCCTCTAATAACAAGTGCGTTTTAGTGCAATTCGAGGCCTTTGATTGGAGCCTAGGTAGAAATTTCCAGGCCCTTTGAGAGCCAAGTTATAAAAATTTTAAACCAAATCTCGAAAATGCTGTAATAGTTTTTACTCCGAAATTAGAAAGAACAAGTAAGAAAGTCTAAGTTCGGGCGGAGCCGAACATTAAATACCCGGCGCAAGTATTAAATATATGTTTTCCACCTTTCCGAAAGCTACCGCTAAATGATAAGCCGGCGTGTATAAATTTTAAGTAAACTAGCGTCCTTAAATTTCAAAATATTGACATTTCATGCATTTCTGAAATTTACCGTTATATGAAAAGCGGCCGTAATTTTAGTCAACAATTTTCAATGGTTTACTTTTATGTGGCAAGCACAATAACCATACCGAGTTTGGTACAAATTGCTGGAACGGTTAGCGAGATACATATACGTGATCATAAGTGGGCGGTGCCACGCCCATTTTCCAAAATTTTATCATAAACGTATTTCATGGCAAAGAATTGTTGCAACCATCATTTTGAATAAATTAGCTTTAATATTTACTGATTTATCGAGGATTTCGTATTTCTCGAAATTACCGTTATATGGGATGTGGGCGTGGTTATTGTCCGATTTTAAAAATTTTCGGCCATTTGGTATGCTGTACCAGGGCCAACAACTGTGCCAAGTTTGGAATAAACTGATGCAGCGGTTACTAAGATATACACATGTAACCATAAGTGGGCGTGGCTACGCCCATTTTCAAAAAAATGTTAATATTCTTATTTTTCGTCTAAAATTTATTACAAATATCAATTTTGAGTGAAGTATCTTCAGTAGTTACTAAAATATCGCAGTTTTTGTATTTCTGAAAATTACCGTTATATGGGAGGTAGGCGTGGTTATTGTCCGATTTTGCGCATTTTCAATACCATCCGTCCTACGCTCGAAGGAAGTACACGTACCAAGTTTCGTTAAGATATCTTAATTTATACTCGAGTTATCGTGTGCACAGACGGACGGACCGACGGACGGACAGACAGTCACCGCTTAATCGATTTCTCTTTTCATTCTGATCATTTATGTATACATTTGTCTATATCTATCTCGATTCGTTTTGCCTGTTACAAACAACCGTTATGTGAACAAAGTTATAATACCCTTGTGCACAAGTGCGCTCGGGTATAACAAGTAAAGAAGTATAAGTTCGGGCGAAACCGAACTTTATATACACGGCACTGGTATCAAATATCGTCGTTTCAACTTTCTCCAAACTACCTTTGCATGATAATCAGGACAATTTTTCCCGATTTCAAACGTTTTCGATAATATGCTGAATTAGGCTTAATAATATAATCGAACCAAGTTTGGTAGAAATCGATAAAGTGGTTACCGAGATACAATTTCGTAGTCATAAAGCCCAATTCCTAAAAGTCTATAGCAGTTTTTTTTATTGTTAAAAGATTGTTGTAACTATTAACTTGGAGTAAATTAGCATCCTCAATTATTGAAATATCGGAGTTTTCGTATTTCTGAAACTTACCGTTATACGGGAAGCGGGCGTAAGTTTAGTCTGCTTTAAATAATTTTTCACGAATTTCTTTTCCGTTCCAAGGTTATTAAGTGTACCGAGTTTGGTAGAAATTGATAAATCTGTTACCGAGATACACATCTGTGGTCATAAGTGGGCGGCGCCATGCCCATTATCCAAAAATTAATAATAATCTAATTTTCTGCTAAGTGGTGATTGCAATCATCGATTTTAAGTGAATTAGCCTTAGTAGTTGCTAATTAATGGCAGTTTTCGTGTTTATGTAAATTACCGTTATATGGCAGGTGGGCGTGGTTATTGCCCGATTTCAAAGAGTTTCAACAGATTTCTTACCAAGACCCTAGGCAAAGCTCCTACCGATTTTGGTAAGGATTGGTGAAGCGGCTACTGAGATACAGCATTTCATCATAAGTGGGTGGGGTCACGCCCATTTTTCAAAAATTTCATAATAATGTTATTTTTTATCACAATTCTACTTCACATACTAATTTTCAACAATTTGCATCCAATATTAACTGAAATATCGCTGATCTTGCATTTTTCGAAAATACCGTTATAAGGGAAGTGGGCGTTGTTACAGTGCGAGTTCGCCCATTTGCATACCAGCCTGCCTTGGATAAATGGAAACCTACGTACCAAACTCCGTTGAAATATCTGAATTTTTGCTCGAGTAATCGTGTACACGGTCGGACGGACGGACAGGCGGACAGGCGGACAGATAGACATGGCTTAATCGACTTCTCTATTCATTCTGAGCATTTATGTGTGCATTTGTCTATATCTATCTGGATTCGTTTTGGCTGTTACAAACAACCGTTATGTGCACAAGTGCGTTCGGGTATAAAAATTAAATAGTGCATTTTTTAAATTAGGGTGTTGAAAATTTTTTTTCGGATTTTGAACAGTGGAATCGTGTTGCTCGTCTCAAAATCTATAATATTATTTTAATAAAAAATACAATTTTTCTTTTTAATAAATCCGGTGGATTTTGCATGTGTTTTCGAGGAACACTATTGTTGACCAATCTTTTTAAGGTCAAGGAGTAATTATGGCTCGATGGCAATATTTTTCCGCAAAAGTCAATTACATTAGCTATAAAAACCATTTTGCTCATATCAAAATTTTGCTTTTGTCGAAAGCGCTACGATTAATTCGCATGGAGTGTTCAAAAAGCACACTGTGCATTTATAAACAACAAGTATCGCCCGGTTGTCGAAATTCGACATCTCTTTTCATACATTTTTGAATTTTGCTTGTCACCACTATACTTTTTATCAAACTATTTATTCTTAAAATAAAGTACAAAATTTTTAAAGAAAATTCAATTATATATTATAAAAGAAAAGACAAGGAATAAATTTAATTTCATTGACACAGATTTGACAAACTTTAATTTGATGTTCACCACATATTAGCGTACGACCGCTTAATTGGCATCGGCATCGGCATCAGCTAGTATCGGCACAAAATTGAGCATCGGCATCGTCATCGGCCTTTTTTTGCCGATTATTTGCAATTTCTTTTCATATTTTTAGGTGAAGCGATAAACAACAGCCAACAGCAAAAAACATTTGCGGACAGCTCACAAAAATGATCTTTTTTGGTTGAAGGTGTTTCACGTGTTTTCCATACAAAAGTATGTTCGACAATTTTCTTTTATATGGAGGACACTGCCAGCAATAAAAAAAAATAATAAATGCTAAAAATTAACGAGATTTTATAGCAGCTTTAAACTTGCACTTCATTATACTAGAAATAAATGGCCTACAAAACTGCATACCAAAATTCTGATTAAAAAGTTTGAAATTTTGGTGAAAATAAGCAGATTTTTTCTCATTTTCGTACAAAGCTTGTTATCTGTTTGTTGAATGGTGTTTGTTGTATACCAGCTAGACTTTTATAAAAAAATAATAAACATTAAATAAACAAAAGACAAATTCCAAATGCCAAAACCGGTCAAAATATCGAAATCCTTTTATTTTGTGGACCACTATATGTATGTATGTACATTAGACTGAATCACTTCCCATACAAAAAAAGTCGGTACTCGTCTTCAATAGGAGTTATAAACTCTATTATATTTTAATTCGTCACCAAAATATTTCGGAAAAATATTAAGATTTACGTGAGCTGGACCATTTGAAAATACCTCAAAAGATGGAGCTTTTTATGAATAAAAATAGTTTCTTAAAGTTTTTTTTAAATCCCTTCAAATGACAAAAGGGTTTAGGCTTAAACAATTTGCGCAAAAATATTAAAAAAAAAAAGTTCAATGGAATCGTAATAATGAAATTTTTGATGCTGTTTTTTAACTTTTTTCAAAGCCTGGTATAAGTAGGGTTCGAACGATACTATCGATATTGAGTAAGCATCGATACTGAGGGTACAAAAATGAGTACTTTAATACTCGATACCTTATTTGGTGATTTTACTCGATACTTTGCAAAGTACTCGTAGTATCGAATACTTTTTAAATTTTTTCTTCCATTGGCAACCCACTTTTCTTTGCTTATATGGATTACTATCATTAAATTTTGTCCATCAGTTAAGATAAACTGAAATCTCGTGTAGTCTGTTGCATAACATAAACCGAATAAGTTAAAGTTTAATGGCCTTATTCATGAAAAATAAAGTCGGTTTTAAGAGCTAATAACATGACATTTTCATACATTTTTCAGTTCATAAACCTTTTTTCTTTTTTATGAATAAGGCCATAAAACTTTACGCAAAGTTCACGAAAATGCAGAATTTTTAGAAACTTTTTGGGTACGCAGTTTTGTAACCTATTCAACTTTACGTGTAGCCTACTACCGTTAACTCTTAATTCAAACTTGCACATTGTTATACTAAAATTGAATAGGCTACAAAAATGCATACCCAAAAAGTTTACAAAAATTCTTAATAAAATTTGAAATTCGTGAAAGTGTAGTATATATATATGTATGTATGTATGTGTGTATGTACATTTAAAGTTAAAATTACTTCTAACGTGAAAGCAAGTTCTGCAATGAAATAAAAATCACATATTTTAATATAACGATGTTAATGATCAGTTTCAAAATTATGTTTTTATTGTTGGTTTGTACTAGGCTATTTTGATCAATTTGGCTTATGTGCAAGAAAAAACTTCCTTCACTTTGCTGCCCGACGTTTCGCCAAACTCCTTGGCATCTTCTGGGGCGTTTTCTTTATTAAAGGATCAACAAGAAACAAACATAAGGACGTTATTGTTATAATATAATTTGTTAATATCTACACAAAACATTTGTACACACAAGAAAACAAGTAACAAATTTTATATTGAATCTATGACAATTAGCAATTTTTAACATGATACTGAACTTTAAACACTTTTGAGAAAACATTGAAAAACTTACATTTGAAAAATAAACTATTGTTGTTAGTGAGAATTCTGTTTATTCTGTTAATATTTGTGTCTTTAAATTGTGCGTGGCTTATTGTTAGTATTTTATGGATTAGGTTTCTTCAATATTTACAAATACAAAATCTCCAATAGACTCCCACCAACAAAGCAATGTGGTATACGAAATCACATGCAAAGGGAGCGAAAACGAAGGCTGCAATAAGGTGTACATTGGCACAACGAAACGACTACTGGGAGTTCGCCTAGCTGAACATGAAGCCGACATTAGGAAGAATAAAAACAGCACTGCTTTAGCCCAACATGTGCTAGCCAGTGGTCATACAGCTGATCTGACTAACGCGAGAATAGTGGATAGGGAAAAAAGAGAAAAAACAAGATACACACTAGAGTGTTTAAGAATTTTGCAAAAAAGAAATGTAACAATAAACAAAAAAGAAGACACTGTCGACATCGCGGCTGCATACTTATTATGTTTATAGCCATTTTAGTATTAGTTTGACAAATGTACCACAGGGTGATGGTATGAACGCTGTTTAAATTTTGAAGTTTTAAATGTTAAGTGTACAATAGTTTATTTTTCAAATGTAAGTTTTTCAATATTTTCTCAAAAGTGTTTAAAGTTCAGTATCATGTTAAAAATTGCTAATTGTCATAGATTCAATATAAAATTTTGTTACTTGTTTTCTTGTGTGTATAAATGTTTTGTGTACATATTAACAAATTATATTATAACAATAACGTCCTTATGTTTGTTTCTTGTTGATCCTTTAATCGAGCACCCCCCTGCCCCTACCTGGCTACGCCCATGGATATATGTACATATATTTTTACACATACATATGTATGTACATAAATGTGTATGGAATGCTGCATAACAAGCCAATTAATTCAATTATTTGTTTTCTTTTGTTTTGTTAACTCCATTAAATTAACAGATTTTATGAATTAATACATTTATTTGTAGTTTTTTATGGAATCGGCATCGGCATCGGCCGATTCTTTCCCCATAGGCCGATTAATCGAACAAAAAATTAATTTTGGGCGAGACGAAGTTCGCCGGATACGCTAGTAATGCTTTATTTATATAAGAAACACATTTAGTGTGATTAAAGTAAAACTAAAAAAATAATAACAATATTGATACGTTATAAATTTGTAGTCCAAGTCAAGTTTCCATCGATGTAAGTAATAAGTAATTAAGTAATATTCATTTTTAATGATGACCTCCGTGACCACCGTGTCCGTGACCACCGTGATGGAAAGCCACACCATGTTCTTGTTTGATGGAAAAGCCACTTGAATGGCTGCCGTGTCCATCACCATGTCCGTGACCATGTCCGTGACCGTGTTCGTGACCATGCCCGTGTCCATCTCCATCACCATGGCCGCCGTCATGTCCTCCATGCCCGCCTTCGTGTTGTTCGACCTCAGCGTGTCCACCGTGGTAGCTGGTGTGACCGTGGTCGGCTACATGATGATGTGTGGGTTCGCGGTGCACTTCAGCGTGGAAACCGCTGTGTTTGTCAGCTGTATAGTGGACAGTTCGCTTATTACCATCCGAATCGATCAACTCGTAGTGACCGGATACCTTGTGGCCATCTCGATGTTCGCTGTGTCCCTTGATGTCACCTGTTTTCTTATCCTTGACGCCATAAGAAAAATGATACTCAGCATGTGAATCATGACCATCTCCGTGTCCAGGTCCATGACCATGCCCATGTCCATGATGATCATGATGATCGTCGTGTGAAACTAGATGAACAGAAGCATGACTGGATCCGCCACTGTCATGTCCATGCCCACCGTGTTCATGTCCACCTAAGTCATGGTGACCGCCATGGTCGTGGTGACCTCCGTATGACACAGTGCCAACCACGCACAGTGCAAGGCAACAAGTGAGTGCAACGAAAATCTGTAAAAAAGAAGGAAAATAAGGATGTGATATAGGAAAAAGGAGGATCAAACTTACCTTAAAGGCCATGGTTCCAAGCTAGTTTACAAGTTGGGATATTGTGATAGATCTTAGCGAACTGTGATTATTTCAAAGTTGGCTTGTGGTTATATACCCTCAACTCCACATTTGAATGTTAAGCATTTCTTGTTTAGCTACTTTATTTTTAGATATTTTTTGCACTAGTTTGCCTTTCTAATGCAATTCGAACAGCTGATGGTAAAACTATAAGGTGATTGCGAAGAAAACAACGCCTACCAAACTGCAAACTAAGTTTAGGAAATGCGCTACTATTAGCTTACTTCTGTATGTACACTGAGAAAAAAAAACGCGTTGTAAGAATAAAAAAATTTTATTTGATTACCGTTTAAAAATGTTCGTTTTTAAATCAAGTGAAAAGTCTTAACAAAATGGATTTTTTCATTATACAAACACTACGTATAATGGAAATATTAATCAAATACGCGCGTATTAAAATGAAGCATTTTCACTGCACGAAAGCATATGTATACAAAGCATGCAAAGCGGTGACAACACATACATACATACATATGTATATACATACATATGTTTTTTTTTTTACGAGGAGGAAGCATCGAAAGCCTATACCCGTCAGTGTGGGGCTTTAACCCGAACTAAACCTCCTACTGTCCGAGTACCGAACCCCCCGGTACCACCGTCAAGTATTTCGTCGGGAGGCGGTCGAGCACTAGGCTCGCACGTTCGTTCCAGTCGGTTGTACTCAGTCCTGGGCTACGCCTAGTAGACTTTGCCACGTCTTGTTTAAGGATAATTACCCTTTTTTAACTATTTATTCATTTATCTCTTAGATACAACTTATTATTTTCGCCTTTATAGACAGTAAGAGCAAAAACCTTAAAATGCCTTATGCGACGAGTTTCAAGCCCGCCTTTGCGGTTTGAACGGTCTAGGTTCCAATCCGCACCAACGCCCCGTGTGGACGGAATTCGAAACTGCACTTTATTTGCGGCTGGAACGCCCTTCCAGTCCGCGCCTATTTTCGATTGCAAAAATTTTTTCGAGGTTGCCACTTGGGCGGCTGGAACGCCGTAGGTTCCAGTCCGCGCGTATTTATCGATGTCAAAAATTTTCGAGATTGCCACCTGAGCGGCTGGAATGCCCTAGGTTCCAGTCCGCGCCTATTTTCGGTTGCAAAAGTTTTTCGATATTGCCACTTGGGCGGCTGAAACGCCATAGGTTCCAGTCCGCGCGTATTTATCGATTTCACAAATTTTCGAGATTGCCACCTGAGCGGCTGGAACGCCTTAGGTTTCAGTCCGGGTATGCGCTTTAATTGTTAGATTTCATGTTCAAGGTGCGGTCTGAAAGCACAACTTTCTAAGCCGCACTGCTCGAGCAGCTGGAACGGCCTAGGTTCCAGTCCGCGCCTACGCTTTGGTTGGTGAACATCATAGTTTAGTTCCAGTCCGCGGCTATGCTAAGAGTTGGCTTAAGCACGGCTGATACGCCGCTGTCTCTCTAGGTCCCTCAGTTCCTTCAAAATCGAAGTTAGTGTATCGCTGGTTGATGCCCATTCGCTGGTTCCTTTCACCATATAGTCGACTACTGACTGTGGCGTAAGCGCCCCTCCAACGGCAAGTTCAAGTTGGTTCATATGCCGATGGAAACGAGGGCAATCAAAGAATACGTGGTGAACATCTTCTGCCACGCCACTTAGACAGATGTCGCAGTACGGGTCGTGCTCATGTTTGAATTTAAACAGGTATGCCTTAAAACAGCCATGACCACTCAAGAACAGGCTCAGATAAAAATCTGCTTCGCCATGCGTTCTATTAAGCCAGGATACCAGGTTTGGTATGCAGCGATAGGTCCAACGACCTTTAGTCGTACTATTCCACCTGTTTTGCCACGCTGCTTTGCCGGGCTTGATGTCGGTCTAATTGAGTTAGAGTACGCCGCGTGGATGCAAGGACCGTCGATTCTCTTGCTAGTATATCTACGGATATCATATTGCCGATTACGAAAGCTGCTTCGTCCGACACTGTTCTGAAGGCGCTGCAAACTCGGAGCGCGCATAAACGGTATGTTGAGTTGACTCCGCGGAAGTATGATGGACACTGTGCGGCGTTTGACCAAATTGGGGCCGCATACAGTATTTGGCTTTTAACCACGCTCGGTAAGAGTAAACGCCTGCGCTGTTTCGGTCCTCGCGTATTAAGCATTATTCGCGATAGTCCCGTGATCGTTGAAGCTGCTTTCTCTCTCACATAGCTCAGGTGGGCGCTGAAAGTAAGACGCTTGTCTAGCACCACTCCCAGGTATTTAATTGTGGGTTTCATCGTGATGGTGTGGTCGCCAATTTTTAGCGCTACCTCCTCTAGTTTCTTACGACTCGAGATAAGTATTGCTTCTGTTTTTTGCTCGGCTAGCTTCAGGCCGAAGCTATTTAACCAGCTATTAATCACGCCGACTGATGATGCTACCTTTTCGCATATGACATCAAGCAGTTTCGCAGACACTACTACCGCAATGTCGTCTGCAAAACCCACTATTGATGATCCCTCAGGCAATTCGGTACGGAGAACTCCATCATACATAATGTTCCATAGCAAAGGTCCTAGTACGGATCCTTGTGGAACGCCACCTGTTATCTCAGCCCGTTGCAGGCCCTCCTCCGTTTCGTACCACAACACTCGCGAATGGAAATAACTTCGTAATAGTCTCCGAAGATAATAAGAAATGCCAATGCTCTCCAGTCTATCGAGTATTTTAGCCCAGTTGGCAGAGTTGAACGCGTTCTTTACTCCTCCCAGCCACCGTGTACCGCTTGTTGCATCCCGTGCTAACTTAATGAATTCTGATACCGCATTCACAGTGGATTTCCCTTTTCTAAACCCGAATTGGTTTGCCGATATACCGCCTTTCTCTTGGACTTCCCTGTCGACACGTTTAGCTATAATATGCTCCAAGATTTTACCTGCTGTGTCTAGCAGACAAATATACCGAAAACTTGAGGGATCATCCAGAGGTTTACCCGGCTTAGGTATTAAAACCAGCTTTTGCCTCTTCCAGATTTGAGGGAAAGTTCCATTCGTGAAACACTCATTAAAAACTTGTAGGAATAAGGAAGCGCACTGGTGGACTGCAAGCTTAAGAGCTATGTTGGGTACGCCATCGGGGCCAGGAGCTTTCTTTTCTTCCACCTTCGATGTTGCGAGTGTGATTTCTTCTTCCGTTACAGGGTCAACAACACTCAACGGCTCGCCATCCATAGTGGACACTAAAGGTCTCTGTACAGGAAATAGTGTCCCCACGACGGACTTTAGGTATGCAGCGTTTGTCGGGTTCATGTTTCTGCCTTTCAGCTTTTTTGAGACAATTTTGTAAGCCGAGCCCCAAGGATTCCGTTCAGCATCATCGCAGAGCTCTAAGAAGCATTGCCGTTTACTTTCTTTAATTCCTTTCTTTAGTGCGTCGCGTGCACTCTTATAAGCAGCACGAAATACCACGAAGTTGTCTCTTTCCCTAGCTCTCTGAGCATTTCGCCTACATCTTAGACATTTCTTTCGCAGGTCCGCTATGTTATCGTTCCACCAGTAGACCGCATGACGATACGTGGAGGAAGTTCTCCTGGCCATTGATGCATCGCAAGCTGCGCGAATGTCGGCCATTAGGTGTTCGGCCATGGAGTCTGCTGACCCTTGGTAAACGGTGGATGGTAGCATGCTGGTAAACGATTCGGGGTCGAAAGTACTGGTTTTCCACCCGTACGATACTCCGGGGTTGTGAGTCCGCTTAGACAGTTCTCGTCTGCAGTTGATATTGCAAATTAAAGCTGAATGATCACTTTGCGTATAACACGTGCTATGTTTCCATTCAGTGAATCTATATAGCCCGGAACTGATAAAGGTCAGGTCTATTATTGACCCAACACCGTTTCGGCTGAAAGTGTGTTCAGTTCCCGTGTTTAGTAAAACGACGTCCAAACAAGCGAAAGCCTCCAGAAGAGCTCTCCCTCTTGGGCTTGTACTGCGGCATCCCCACTCTTGCGCCCACGCGTTGAAGTCGCCTGCTATAAGAACATTCTGCCTGCCTCTAGCATCAATTGTTAGATTTAACAGTATATTTTCGAATGCCTGTATACTTATGCTTGGCGAAATGTATACATATGTACATACATACATATGTACATACAAACAAAATCTCTGGCTATTACTATATAAGCAAAGAGAGAGAGTGAGTGAAAAGTGCGCGAAACTTTTGTTGTACCCTCAAACAGAGGGGCAAATAAAGAAGTGTCAACAGCAAGTGTATACAAAATTGTCAAAACGCAGAAAAAAGTACTGCCAAGTGAAAAAGCGAGGTTTCACACCTCCTGCATGGACACTAACTCACCACGGTATGGTGGAGTGCATGGTGAAACCCAGTTTAAAGGTGTCGAGGAACATACGAGCACTAGCAAACAAAATATGAGTGAAAGTATGAATTCCGAAGGTAAGTCTGCATACCCTTTTCGTAGGTGTCCAAAAATACCGCGATCACCTGATCGCACCCATTCACCTGCATTTCAAGCGGCGCAGCAATCTACTGACAATGCCGCTGCCACCCAACTGCATAGGGAGGTAAATGACAACGTTGTCGATCCGTCAGCAGTTGGGAGTGAGATGGGGAGTGAAGCTGGCTCTCAATCAAATCAAGTGAGTGAGCGACCTGTAGCGATAAGAGATATGGAGGTCGTAAACAAACTGAGAGACACACACACTATTAGTATGGTGAGAGCAAAGATTGAGGAGGTGAGTAGGTTGATGAACGGGCAACGACGTAAATCAACATATGAAGAATGTGTTAGCTAGCGCTGCTAAACTATGCAAAAGCATTGGGAATGATGCAAAAACAATTAGCAAGGGAAATACGGCGTCGAAAAGCACTCAAATTGGCCCAACAATTGTAGGCAAAAATCAAACGAAGCGTAGCAGGGCTTCAACAGAAGGCGGTCTTATAACCGAAAATCAGGCCCAACCAATATTGAAACGGTCGCATTTTTCTTC